CCAAGTTCTTAAAGAATTAAGATAATTTTTTTAAACTAAAAATTCGGTCAAAGCTCAAAGTATCTTGGACGTTATAGAAATTGCAAAAAATATCACTTTCATTTTTTCATCAAATATCCACGCCGTTGCTCACTGTGTATCTGAAAATATCCTGGGCAAAAGTTAGGAATGAGAGAAAAAAAGAAACTAGTTTTCTTTGTAGAAATAGCAGTTTTGATTTATTTGAATATTTTCTCAAAGATAAACAAGTGAAAATGACAAAAAATAGATTTATAGAAAGTGTAAAAGTTTGCTTTTAATTGACTGTTATTGATCGTCTTCAATCATATCTAACTGTGAGCAAACAAATTTACAAGCACATTTTTGATTGTTTTGTGTAGAGACGTCGCTTTTGTCTTTCATCGAACTAAGTTTTAGTCAGCATAAAAGAAGATAGTCATTCGAACTGTTTAATTTTGATTCTCTCTATTCAATTCCAAGTAGACCATTATTAACGAGACATGTTCTCCTAAGACTTATTAACACTTTAGTTATATTTGATCAATTTTAAAAAAATTTGAACATTAAAATAGGTGAACTTTCAACACAATATCCAACAAGTGGTTCATTTAGTACATATGGAAGTCGTTTTGTCGATGAAGCATTTGGTTTTGCATTAGGTTATAATTATTATTTTGCTAGTGTAACAGTAATTGCCGGTGAATTAGTAGCTGCGGGAATTATTGTACAATTTTGGTTACCACATTTTCCAACTATTGTTTGGTCTCTATTAGGAATGATAATAATGTTTATATTAAACGTATTTACAGTAAAAAGTTATGGAGAAGCCGAATATTGGTTTGCTATGATTAAAGTTTTTACTGTTATTATATTTATAATAGTTGGTTTATTAGTTGATATAGGTGTACTTGGACATGATAGAATTGGATTTCGTAATTGGAAAATTGATGGTGCACCTTTTTATGGAGGTATAGGTGGAATTGTTACTAGTTCAATTGCTTCGGCTTTTGCATTTGGAGTAAGTTTGTTTTTTATTTTAATTATTATTTTAAATTTGATAAATTTTCTAGGGTACAGAATCCATTGGTGTAACAGCAGGTGAAAGTACAAATCCTCGTCGTGATGTCCCACGTGCAATGAATGGAACTATTGGACGTATTATTTTATTTTTTGTTGGATCAATTGTAATAATGGGTCTTGTTATTCCATATAATGATCCGAGTATAGCTCATAATGATGCTAAAAGTGTAGCTGTATCACCATTTACACTTGTTTTTGTTAAATCAGGTCTTAAACCGGCTGTACATATTATGAATGCAGTTATATTAACAACAATATTATCATCTGGAAATTCATGTCTATATGTATGTACACGAATTTTATACGCTTTAGCTAAAGAAGGAAAAGCTCCAAAACAATTTACTTATGTAACTCGACATGGTATTCCAATATGGTGTCTTATATTTACAGTATGTGTATCAACAATATTATTTGGTTTATCATTTATTGGTAATAAAATAATTTTTCGATGGTTAGTTAATATAACAGGCATAATGGGCTTTATAGCTTGGTTTGGAATATCATTAGCTCATTGGAGATTTCGTCGAGCATTTATTTTACAAGGTTATTCATTAAATGATCTTGCTTATAAAAGCTTATTTTTTCCATTTGGATCAATAGTGGCATCATTATTAACATGTATATTTATTTTCGGGCAAGGCTATTCAGCATTTACAACACATCCATTTAATTTTACTAATTTCTTAGCAGCTTATATAACACTACCTGTTTTTTTAATTATTTTTTTTGTTTATAAATTTGTTAAAAAGACACGTTTTATACCTTTGAGAGAAATTGATCTTGTAACTGATAGCATTATATTTCATCAAACAGAGCAAACATCTAATATTTAAAATTTATGTTTTTTTTTTAAACAAAATAAATAATCAATATCATTATTCAAATAAGTCTGTTAACTTGTTTTTAACAAAAAAATTTATTTTAATAAAACTGTGACATGATCAAGATTTATTAACACACACTCAACATCTCGCAAAATATGTGTGTCGCGTAAGGAGCCACACACATCAACACACACACAGGGCATCTCGCAACGTGTAAGTGTTATGAAAGAAGCTATGCACACAAACAGACACACAGGACATTCCGCGGAGTGCTTGTGCCCCAAAGCGGGTAACATACCTAAAAACAGCCTCTTGTAACTCCTATGGCTTGTTGTACCTCTCATATTTGCGATTGTCTCTTATACGTACCTACTTTAGCTCCTATACGTCCTATGCTTTAGTCAAGAGAAATAAGGACAAACTTTTGGACATTCAAATGAATTTCCTGGAAATTGGGATGAATTTTCTGAAATCTTAAACGTATTTGCTTGAAATTAGAATAGACATCAAGTTGTCTCCCATGTAGGTGGTAGACTAAAAATCGAAAAAAAAAATTCTCATCGGGAGATGCCGCATTTTCTCAGGGAGAAGTACTTGGAGACGCGGTATTTCTTAGAGAGATGCGGCATTTCCTCACCAAGATGCCATATCTCTCAGGGAGATCCGTGAGGCTATGTGTATGTTTGTTATAGAGGAATAGTCTTTGGATAGTTGGGTCGGCATATCCCTATGTTTCTCCAGCATCCCCGATTTTCTGGATATGTGACACCTCTCTTATCGCGACCAGAAAACGGCCGCCGAACGGCTGCCCTAGGGAAGACAAGGGTGTAGGTGGGTGTGGGTGGGTGTGGGCGTGGGTGTGGGTGGGTGTGGGCGTGGGCGTGGGTGTGGGTGGGGGCTACCTCTCATTTGCGAACATGAAGAAAATAAATTAAATTTTTTGAAATTTCGTTTCATTTAATTTGATACTTTTATTAATTTGTTGTAAAACGTTTAAAATTTAAATTCAACTTTTGAAAATTTCATTAACGCGAACGAATATTCAAAGTAAATTGTTTTAAAAGATTTTTCTAAAAATCGATTCATTTTATAAAGCATGCTGCAATTTGTAGAGTCGTCACTTTTTTGACAATAAATAACTTTTTAATATTCAGATAGTTACTGCAATTTGTAGAGGGCGCAAGTTTCTGATGGCAGAGAGTTCGTGATATTTACTGCAATTTGTAGAGGACGTAAGTTTCTGATTGAAGAAGTTTTCTAAATTTAGTACTATTGCTGTAATTTGTAGAGAGCGCTAGGTTTTAGTTGAACTAAAATTTTTCTTTGAATCTGGCTCGAAAGAATTGAAAGAGAAGTGCAAAAAGTAAAATGTACGAGCCGGGTTTTTCTTTTATTATCGCTAAACTAATACTGATAATGCACGAGCAAGGGTCGTCGGCTTGGATTAAACTAAGCACGACTTCAGTTGAAGACAAAGCGAAATTTTAAGAAGACTGTATCATAATTTGTTGTGATAATTTGATATTTGTTCAGATTGTAATGTGGGCGAATCAAATTGTGTTCATCAAGAGAAGATGCTCATTAACATGTATATTTCTGAGCCGTCTTGTTCGTAACATTATTTTTTTGTATTTTATGATTTTTGTATACGAATGCTTTCATATCTTAACCAATTATCTCCATTCAGTGGCCGATCCCATTTTACCATCATAGCTATATGGTCTGTTCAAAATCAAAAGCAACTAATGGCATTGATAGTAACAGTCATATCTGACGAACTCTATAAATTGCTGTCAATTAAGAATAAAACAAAGCAGTACTATATTTTAGCGCACTCTACAAATTGCAGTTGATGAAGTTGAAATAGTCAAACTCAGCATATAGTGCACTCTATAAATTTCAGTAATTAGACACAAAAGAAGCACTATTGTAGTTTAGCGCACTCTACAAATTGCAGATAGTTAAATAAAAATAATGAGACTCACTCTTTAGCGAACTCTATAAATTTCAACAAGTTTAAAAATATAATTGAAATTTTAATTTGTTTTAAAATTGATATCAGTAAATTTTTTTAAATTTGAAAACCGAAAATTTTAGACATAATTTTATTTTAAATTTAAATAAATTAAATTTAACATATTTTCAATTTATATTTTATGTTCGCAAATGCGAGGACACGGTGGGTGGGTGTGGGCGTGGGTGCGGGTGGGTGTGGGCGTGGGTGCGGGTGGGTGTGGACGTGGGTGTGGGTGTGGATGTACAATGGGGCTATGTGGATGGGTGTGGATGCGCACGAAGAGGGAATCCATACCCACACCCACACACACCCCACACCACACACCAACCCACATCGAAACCCCACACCCACACTCCACCCACACCCACCCACACCCACACCCACCCACACCCACACCCACCCACACCCACACCCACCCACACCCACGCCCACACCCACATTCACACCCACGCCCACACCCACACCCTCCATCCAGTGGAGATTCATTCTTTCATAGGCTGAGAATTTAGTCCTGCGATGGCGACTGAGTTCACCGATTAGAGGACTCAGCCCTCTAGCTTTTCGGTGGCTTCGCTCCTACTTATGCTGCGTAACAAAAAACTTCAGCTAGCTTAAAGCTCACTGCAAGGACTATCAGAATATGCATGAATCTCGAAATCCGATTTTCTGGAAAACATCGACTTTTCTGATGGGGCCCTTAAATATCATTGTATACCTATGCACATCGAAATAACGTTCGATATTTGCAATGTCTTTGATTGACCTTTTGAAAGTGATATTTATATATAGACTCCGGGACAAAAGTCTCTCACTCTCTTTATTTTTATGCTCTCATACTTTGCATGAAATTTATTACCGAGTAGAGATACGACATGGAAGTTTTATTTCACTATGGTGTACAGATCACACTGAAATAAAACTCTTACATCATATCTCTACTCAGTAATAAATTTGACACAAAGTATGATAGCATAAAAACAAAGAGAAGGAAAGACTTTTGTCTAGGGATATATAATGTTGTCTTTTATCCTTTTCGATATCGAATCATTCTATAATCAGACAAGAGCTTAGTTAAATTGATGCATTGTTCGATTTCAATTTGGTATTTTCTTATTTTCACTGTAATTTGTTTTAAAAGTATTGATTATAATATTCGTGGAACAACCGTTAATGGATGGGAATCTATTTATGATTTATTTAGACAAAATTTCGTACAAGAACGAGATTTAGGTGCATCAATAGCAGTTTATTATCAAGGTAAATTAGTTGTCGATCTATGGGGTGGATGGTTTGATCAAGCACGAACAAAACCCTATGATAATGATACATTACAATTGGTGTTTTCAACATCAAAGGGCTTAGTAGCTGTAGCTGTTGCACTTTGCGTTCAACAAGGTCTACTTGATTATCCAGCATTAGTTACAAAATATTGGCCAGAATATGGACAAAATGGTAAAGAGAATACTACAGTAGCAGATATTCTCTCACATCGTGCCGGATTACCGAATGCGCCACCTTCTTTTGAAGAATATCTAAACTGGACCGGAATGATCCATACACTAGAACAACAACATCCATTGTGGCCTCCGGGAACAACTCATGGTTATCATGGTCTTACGTATGGTTGGCTTGCCGGAGAACTTGTGCGTCGAGTAGATCCAAAGAGACGAACTCTCGGACAGTTTATTCAAGATGAAATTGCAAATCGAATAAAGATTGAATTTTTTATAGGTCTACCACCAGAACACAAATATCGTGTATCCCCACTAGTCCACAGTGTGAACCCGCAAGAAGTAGTATTAAACGAATCAGAAAGTGCCGCATTTAACAAATACAACGAGTATGATACACATCGAGCAGAAATACCAGCTGTAAACGGAATAACAAATGCTCGATCAGTAGCCAAACTTTATGCATCTTTAATCGGTGAGTTGGAGAATGGACAGCAAAGACGACTACTAAACGAAGAAATTTTAAAGAAAGCAACGCAATCGAATACCCCCGAAAACGAGACGGATTTTGTAGTACATGATCCAACATCATTTGGCATGGGGTTTTTACTGTTTGATCAGATTTCTGCATCGGTTCCACCAGGAACATTTGGTCACAACGGTAACGACAAAACTTCTATCTCATTGTTAAATGAACTTTTTTCTTGAATATTAGGACTTGGTGGTAGCATTGGTTTTGCTGTGCCATCTAAGAATCTTTCATTTGCTTATGTTGTGAATCGACAGGACTTGAAAGCAACGATCATCGATCCTAGAATTCAATCAATTCTAGCCAAAATTATGACATTAATAGACAGGAATAAAGGGTGTCTCATAAGTTTCAACCCCCTTTTTGCTTTTTTACCTAGCTTTGTCATATTCTATCCTGGACCGATCTTGAGTATAGATTCTTGAATAGCAACAGCTAAGTTATCAATCAAAACAAATGCATTCAATTTGCATGAGTTGTACGAGAGAACCACACGGATAAAAATTTGGAAAAAAGGAACAAGTTTACTTTACTGGTTACCTCCGGCTTTTTCGATTTTATGCTTCCTATGAGATTTCTAGGTGCAAAAAACGAGAGAACAGAAAATAAAACTTAGCGGTCAGTCTTATATGCCCGAATTCAGGACGCCAGTATATACCCAAAGTGTGATGATTGTTTGATGGAAGAAGTATTAGCGCTGGTGGAATTACGCTTTATTATAATTCTTCTTCTCAAGAATCGCATCGCTTCCATAAAAAGGGTGTGGGCGTGTGGGTGGTGATGTGCGAGTGTGGGTGTGGGTGTGAGTGTTGGTATTGGTGTGACTATGCATGACCCAAACCCAAACTCATTAGACCAAACTCACCAAACCCAAATAGTTTGCATTTGGGTCATGCCGAGATGTGGCTATGGCTGTAGGTGTAGCTGTGGGAGGAGGTTGACGCCGCTGGGTGTGGGATGTGGGTGTCAGTATGGGCGTGGGTGGGTGTGGGTGGAAGTGTGGGTGGGCGTGGGCGTGGTTGTGGGGTGTGAGTGTGGATGTGGGTGTGGGTGTGAGTGTGGGCGTGGGGTGGAAAACAGCAGCACTCACACCCCACTATAGATTCCGATGGTCTTATCAAAGCATTTCGAGAACTTGGCTCTCATGATGCCGTCAAACGACTTACAGGTAGATTTGTACATGAGTTCAAGTCGACATGGCTTTGTCTTTGTAGCATATCAACAAAAGAAGCAGCGAGAGATACGATTCAAAGATTTGATAACCAGCGAAGAAGAATACAAGTCCGGTTCGATGAAGAAGTTAGAAAATGTAGGAAACGGTGAAAAACAGAGTATTCCATTGATTTTTTTGAAATATTAAGCCTTGTGTCCACTTTTATAAAAAAACATAAAATTTCAGTTTCTATTTGTGTAAACTGAAAATAAAATTTGATTAGAAATTTTAATCTTATTCTCACACAATCTCCCTCGTTTTCTTTGGTAAGAAAGCTGCTCGATTGCGTGACAGTTATTTGCCTGTTCTCAGGTGTTATTATCGTGATATGTGAATTGGTTAGGCCAGGCTAACGTGAGCGGCAACGATTTTCCAGCCACAGCCCACATCCGAGACAGATCCGAGTCTGGCCCACGTCTGCATTTGGCGGCCGTGTACCGCCGAGTCCAGCTCGTTGGTGAACTCAGTGCTAACTGTCGCAAATTCAGAGCCAAATGTCGTTATAATCGTGTGATAGAGCCGTCTTTGAGGTGACACCGGCTGAGCGTTGGCACGCCACTTGTGAATTGCCTCTCCACCGTACTGAATATCGGCAATACCGTAGCGAACTGCTTCTGGTGCACTCCAAAATAACGTGTTCATGACGTTGATGTCGTTGTCGATCAAGGCTCGCTCGTATTCAACAAAGGCCGCTCTAACTTGTGCGACCACTTCGGGTTTATTTATTTGCATGGTCATTGAATGCTGCTTCACTTCAAGTTTATCTATCTACAAATCGTCTTTGTTGGTAGAAGCGCAAGTTTTATTATATTAGGTGACGTGTGCACATCTTCACATTTGCGAGATAAGACTATTTATTTAGTTTCATTATTGTATATAGGCTCTCGTGTAAGAATTTTTTGCAAAGAATCAGACCATAGCATGTCGTAATGTTTAGTATTTCGTTTTGAGAAAGATTCTACGGAAAAAAGCGTCGTGCAAATCACTGATTTCGGTCTCAGTCGATATAGTCAACTGTATTTAGTAACATTAACTGCTGCGCAAAGAAGATTGATGAAAATCAACATATTTCTTGAATGTTGTTATAATAGCAATACATGAGAGTAGCGATTACATTTTATTTGTTGTAGAAAACAGTGATGGGATCGGTTCGGTTTGGTTCGAAAGTTTTTCCATTCGGTTTGAAGAAAATGAAATAATCACAATATTGAAATTATTTTATATAGAACAAAGATGAACAAAGAGAAGAAAGAGTGTTCTATTTTTGCAATTTATAACGAATAGAAATAAATTATACACATCACTGTAATTCATCTAGTCTGTTTCAGGCCTTTTCCATGTTTGAGAGTGATATTTATTATTTATTTCTATTCATTATAAATTGCAAACTATTATCGACATCAAAATGTAATGCACCTCGATATTTTTTTTCGATATCTCGAGAACGAAAACAGTTACAAACCTATGGGTTTCACCATTCGAAAGAGAAATGTGAGGGAAAGTGAAACGCTGCTGAATTCGATTGGTCACTAATCGACCAATCGTGTGAGCATTCGTCGGGCATTTTGAAAACTGTCCAGGGAAACTATTTCTCATTGGATTTTAAATTGTAATGTGACTATTCGATGAGAAAAATTGTTCTTTCTCGTTCTACGCAAGGCTGAGCTTACTAGCTTGCTTTGTTTAAGAGTTATAAGCATTTTCCTGAGACCTCTGAAGTCGGCCAGGTAATCTTCAATCATCCTAAAATAGGTCAAAACAGGAGTAAATGATCCCGCTGAGTCAAGTGGTTATATTTATTTTTAGTTTCAAATCAATCTGAAGTTAGTATATCGAAGTTTTTGATTTATCCGTATTCTCAGCCATGTATTAAGAGAAGTAATACTATCGATAACTTCAATATGCTTGCTTCAGATTGCTTGGAAACTAAAAACAAATATAACCACTAGACTCAGCGTGATCAGTTACCCCTATTATGATCTATTTTAGGATGATCGAAGGTTACGTGGTCGATTTTGGGAGTCTCAGAAAAATGCTTATAGCTCTTGAACAAAGGCAGCTAGCGAGCTCAGCCTTGTGTAGATAGAAAGCGAACAATTTTTCTCATCGACTAATCATATTGGAGTCTAAAATCCAATGAGAAACTTTTTCCCTAGACAGTCTTCAAAATGTCCGATGAGCGCTCGCACGATTGTTCAATTATTGACCAATCAAATTTGGCAGAGTTTTACGTCTTCCACTTTTTTCTTTCAAATAGTGGAAACCCACAGGTTTCTAGCTGCTTTCGTTCTCGAGATAGTTAAAAAATATCGATGCTCATTATATTTTGACGTCGATAGTAGTTCTACATTGAAGTGATTGGCTTAGTTGAGTTCACCGTTACTCCAGAGAGTAGTTTCGTAGGCTGTAATCTTATTTTGCAGAACTCACTAGAAAATAGGGAATGTATATTTGAATGCGAGCAGCCAACTCTAATTTATCGCTACAGATACAACCCGTGTACAATTCTCAGAATGGAAGGAAGAAAGATCCACGGAAGTGTTATGAACGATGCATATTGTACTTTTCGCGTACTTGCGTTGCCGTTTAACCCTTTGAGAACAGGTGGACTATTTTTCACCCACCTATTCTTCAGTAGAGAAAAAAGTGTTTAGTTCACATTAAACTATTAAATATGTTAGGTCATTAAGGTCATAAACAACTGAATGTGTCATCTCATACTTTTCTTTTCTTTCTTTCCTTCTCTCATATAAATTCTTTTCAAATATCCTTTGTTCTTGCTGCTAAGGTACAGTGACTTTATAATTTCTCTCTTCTCCTCTGATCTTTTGTTTTTCGAGAATATTCTCATTCTCTGTTGAGTATATATATACTCTCGTTGTCATTGACGAATTTACGTTGTTCTTGAATTTGCAAAGGATATCATTTCTCCTTCGAACTTGTACTCTTTATTTCTTTATACCATTTTTACAATTAAAACTAACCAAATGGAATTGTATGGAAATAATGAAGTCGACGAGGAGTCTTATGATTCATATGCCAGTGACGATTCTAGCGAGATTGACTTCGATTTCGATTACGATGAACTAGCCGATAACTTAGATGAGCTTGAACTTTCTGATGAAGATTTGGATGTATATGAAGAGGAGCTGAATTCAGTGAATGAAAGTAATATTGCAGATGGCGGCTTTACCTCAATCTCTCTCAAAGAGCAAACTCCAGTTTCAGTCTTTAGAACCATTTTTACTGAAGAAATTTAAAATCTGATTACTGATTAAACAAACATTTACGGAAAAGGAAAGAAACGACGTAACAATCAGAAGAAAACCAGTAACTGTAAGGATGTGAGAAAAAAGATATTAAATCGTTTCTTGGGTTGATTATTCTAATGGGTATCAATAACTTACCAAATATGAATCGTTATCGAAGTACAGATATGGTATTCCATAATACATTTATTTCTTCGATCATGTCAAGAGATCGTTTTCTTCAAATTTTTTATAATTTACATTTGGCTGATAACTCATTGAAACCAAAACGAGAATCTAAAGACTACAGTAAAATTTACAAAGTTAAGAATTTTACTGAAATTTTACGGAGAAATTTTCAAAAAAATTATAACTTAGGCCGCTATGGTACAATCGACGAAAGTATGATAAAATTCAAGGGAAGATCAAGCCTCAAGCAATATTTGCCTCTAAAACCAATAAAAACAGGTTATAAAGTTTGGTGTTTATGTGATCCAATCACTGGTTATTTATTCAACTATCAAATCTATTTAGGAAAAGAGGAAACCAGTGGAAAAGAAACACCTTTAGAGCGAACGTGTTGTTTCTGATCTTATCTCTGGTCATAGTTTCCAAGGGAAACATCTATATTTCGATAAATTTTTCACTTCTCTCAGATTATTAGAAAAGCTAAAGCTACAGAATACAAAAGCCTGTGGAACTATTAGACCAGATCGAGCAGATATCCAGTCAGATTTTGCCAAGAAAAATAAAATTGAACAAGGAGATTCCAAGTCAATGATTGCATCAAACAGCATTGTCTTCATATGGATGGACACCAAAGAGGTTTTTTTTGGCTACAAATTATCATAAAGACGACGAAGTTGTTTCAATTTTTCGCCGTTTGGAAAATGGCCAACGTATTACAATTGACTGTCAAAAAGCAGTAAAAGATTACAATCAGTTTTCACATGGAGTTGACCGACTTAGCCAAAGAATCCCGTGCTACAATCTCGATCACAAGTCTAAAAGGAACTGGCTGCGAATGTTTATTTATTTTCTAAATGCATCTATATTCAACTCATTCATTTGTTGTAATCAGTTAGCTCAAGATAAGTTAACATACTTAAACTACATGGTTTCACCGGCGAAGTCTCTCTGCTTCGGCAGTGAACGAATAAGTCGTGGAAGACCTTCTTCTGAAAACAAGTCTAAACTAGCATCACCAAAAACTATTCTTAGCTTTTGACAATGAAATGCATTTGCCTGTGACAGCAAAAAGAAGAAGATGTGCTTATTGTATCACCAAAGAAGCAGATTTTCGATCCAACATCAAGTGCTTTACTTGCAAATTGCCATTTTGCTTAAGAGATAAAAAAAATTGTTTTTTTGATTATCATAAGGTTTTTATGTAGGTATTTTGAGTTAAAATAAAATAAAAAGGTTGAAAAATGTGATTGCGATTAAAAAAAATTCCGTCCTTAAATGGTTAAGCATGCAAACAAATAGAAGCCATCTAAGGTATTAGTTCGTCAGCGGTAAATGTAATTATTGAACACTATTGAAGTAGTTACAAAAACCCTTCACCGTAAAAAATGGGCGTAGAATAATAAACCCTTGAAAATAGTTTATGAACTTCATAAACCCTCTCGCATACTCTTTTTGGGGTTTATTAGTATTATATACCCTTTCATATAGCCTTTTAGCTCATAAACCCTAGGAAGGGTATGCGATACGTTGCACTTTCATAAACCCTATAGGGTATATCAGTAGTAATATACTCTTTAAAAGTTTATGAACTTCATAAACCCCTCGGAAAAGCGTGTTTTATTCTACAAATTTCTCTAAGGGGTACAGTAAAACACGCTTTCCCGAGTATCACATACCCTTCGTAGGGTTTATGAACTAAAAGGGTATATGAAAGGGTTTATAATACTAATAAATCCCAAAAAGGGTATGCGAGAGGATTTATGAAGTTCATAAACTCTTTTCAAGAGTTTATTATTCTACGCCCATTTTTTACAGTGTTCGCCGACATTTAGCTAGTTTTGACTTATTAACACACCATGTAGTAATGTATTGACAAGTTTCTAACCACGATGGACGTAAAAGTGATAGTCAGATACTTTGAAAGATTTCTTGGGATTACTAGAGATTGTCAGAGATTGCAAGAGATTTCTAGAGATTTCAAAGATCGTGAATCTCTAAAATCTCTCCTTTTCTCCCTTATGCCCGATAATACACTTAATCAACGAGGCTAAAAACTTTTCATTTTGTAACTAGAACAAAGTTTGAATAAAAAATTTTCAATTACAGTTTCTTTGAAAATAAGGAGACATTTTACTGACATCAGTAAAGAATACGACTTGAGTACGACGATACAATCCATTATAATATAAAGAGCATCAATTCACTCTGTTAAAAGTCATAATAATAAAATATTAAAAACAGTATGACGAAGCGTGCAAAACTTAATCTATTCCCATATTCATATGGGCTACTGTTACCAAACATTTCAGATAGATCATCTTGTTCAATTTGATCAAATATCAAGCAATCATTATTCCATGTTTCAACGGAAAATTCCTGGAAAGGTGTAAATTGTAAGTATTTCTGTTCTGATGGATCATATTTTGGCCATTGGTTTAATGGTTCTCCTTTTGAAGCCATACTAATCCAGTGTGAAATAATTTGATTTGAATATGTTCGTGTGTGATTATCCCATGTACAGTTAACTGGATTCATTGAGCGATAGTCACTTTCAGTTCCAAATACTAATGGAAGTTCTGATACATGAAGGCATAGGCCAGCACCTTCTTCTTTAGATAATTTAGGACATATTTCTGGATTACAATCCATATTATACCAAAATAATTTGTGCTGTTCTTGATTATATTTCAAATATATATTATTGTATATACGACGAATACTACAACCAATAATGGCATCTATAGGTGATCGAGTCATATCACAACAACGATTTGTGGCATTTATATTTGATGAACAGTTGTTGAATTGATAATAATTAATAACTGTAGGTGCTCGGTTTTGTCCTAAAATATCAGTTATTATTGATACAGCTAATGTAGAGTTCATTTCAGGGAATATTGGACAATATGATCCTTCATATTTATTAGCACCAATTATTTTACTTATATTTTGATTATATTTTCCATTCTGAATGGCCAATATTGGATGATAGGGTAAAAAATAACTATCAATAACGGACTTCGATGGACGGTTACCGTAAACCATGATTAAATCATGAATAGAAGAATTACGTAAACATACAAGAAGCAATTTACTCGTATGATTTGTTCAGTTCATTTGTTCAACAATTGTGTTTGATCTTTGCATAGCAGAAGTCTTATTTGAATAAAATATAGAACTACTAAATCCACCTGATTGTGATATAATATGTTGATAGAGATTAGAGGATCCTTTTAATGCACCAATATCAACAACCGATTTTCCTCCAGAACTTTCTCCAAATAATAAAACATTGTTAGGATTACCACCATAATCACGAATATTGATATTGATCCAACGTAATGCTGATAATATATCTAAAAAATTATAATTTCCTGCTGTTGGCCATTCAGACTTTTCTTTAATTAATTCCGTTAAATACATGTCAGCCAATACGCCTAATCTATAATTGATTGTTACAATAATGATTGGTTGTTGAGGTGAATTCGCAATTATATTTGTGCCATTGTATAATATAGGAATACTTTGTGATGAACAACCACTTGTGAGACCACCACCATGAATCCAAACAAGAACCGGCAACAAAGATTCATTTGATTTGTTTGATGGCGTAAAAATATTTAGATATAGACATTGTTCATCTTGTAAAGGTATGTATATTCCAGTATTTCGCTGAGGGTAACATGGACCAAATACAATTGCTTGAAATGAACCATTTGAAAACATGTCAGACGCAAGATCAATTGGTGGTTCCCATCTATTTTCCTTAGCATATTGAATTCTATGAAACATTACATTAAGACTGAGATTAAGCACCTCGATAGGTGTATACAAATATGTGTATAGACAGTCAATAGACTCGTTTAAAAATCATGAGCCACAACGTATGCCAGTCAAAAGAAGTTCTTTTTCTTGTCCCGTTTTTAAAAATTCTTTCATGTTTTTCTTTTTCTTCAAAGTTACAACTAATCATGAACAAGATGGTCCAAAAATCACAACACCGATGAAAATATAGATCATAATATACAGTGCAAAAGTCTTGACAAAAATGCCAAGCTTTATTTCTCAGCCGCGAAATGTCGGATGAGCTTGACTTTTTGTTGTTTGAAAGAACAAATATGTCTAGCAAACTATTTTTTATTTTATACAACAACATTCTTTCGATTGATCTTAAAAGGATCTAGCAACATGCGAAAAATTTTGTTTCGCAAATGATAGCACTCGTAAGCCTATGAGCTCTAAATGAAATACATTATTGGATAGGTCCTCAAAAGCTCTATCCAACGTATATCTTTCGAATTTTTTTTACATGTTTTTTCAAGGTGTTGTAAACTAATTATTATTTCAATGTTTATCAAATCTATATTCTAGCACATGAGGCATTTTGAAGAACAGAGCTTTTGCATCGACAGCATGATCAAAACTAAACTTTAAATAGATCATTCGATAGAGCTTGCAAAGATCTATTTTTGGTTGTGTAAAGTTAAAACTCCGAAAGAAGCAATACTGCAAATCGAGCGGCAGAAAATAGTAAAAAACGGACTGCAAGGATATTTTGAGTGCTGCTCCGCATCTGACTTTTGCCTCGATAAATCAAACATCAAATTTTAACTTCTTTTGCCTGTTTTTTTTCTGTAGACTTTGCTATTTCAAACAAAAAAATTCAAGCTGATCCGACATTCCCTAGCTGCGAAATAAAGCTTGTCATTTTTGCCAAAACTTTTGCATTGCATGTTACCCGTTCTATATTGATAAAATATGCTGATTTTCTACCACTCATAAACATAAATTTTATTATTGCTCTAGCTTAGCTAAGTCGTTACATTTTTCTCTGCACTTGCTGACATGTGAATTCTCATGGATCGGATCACACATAAAGAACTTGATTTTTCATGCAAATTTCTTTCATTTTTTCAGATCCTATTGAATGCCATCATTAACGTTCTGTTCGAGGATACTACATCCATCTTTTACTTTTCTTTTGACTGCTTCTAAATCAAAGAGCTTCTATAATCTCACCCTAAATATTCCCTTGAATGTTCGGTTTGTCGACCGTATATAATACCTTTCCTGGTTTGAAGTCCAATATGTGCAGCAGCACTAATTATCATTGTGAAAAATACAATCCGACACAATAATAACAATGTTAATCTGTACAGGTTCTGATGAGCCATCTAAAATAAATCGTTCACGTATGATTATAATCTTCTTTGTTGAAGAATGACCGAAGCAAAATTGAAGTCAAACAAACGAAGTTGAATTCGACAGAGAACATGAACGTTGTTTATTGTGCTCTTTGAGTCTGAAAATTCTGAAAAACCTTTTCAATCTAAAATACTATAATATCATAACTATGACCGATCATTTGCAGCAAATAATTTTTTTTTGCTAAAAAAAATCAATTTTAAAGATCGCTTAAGGCGTATTTACATCTAGTAACAGCATCGCTTATCATTATGCATTGGAAAAAGAAGAGACTTCTCGAAGTATGAAATATGAGAAAAGAATAAGCCAAAATAATCATACGTGACTATTATTATACATAAGAATTGAATCGAAAAAAAATTATTTAATAAAATTGTATTTTGGCATCGTTCCCATTGACATTTCTCGAATTTCTTTTGTATCATCTCTCTACAAACACCAAGCATTGCTATGATATATTACTTGTCGTTGTCGACTAGAAAAACCGATTGTGTATATGTTGAAAACTACAACTATTTCGTATGATCAAATACAACTTAAAAAAAAGATTCGCATCCGAAAGCAATAGATGTTAACCCATTCAATCATGACGCGATCATGTCGGTCTTTAGCCTGATCGAAAGGTGTCTATTAATGTAGGACTCGTTACTTTGATTCGACTTTTCGAATTCTACCTTGATTTTATGAACTCTGGTTAGAGGATTCTGATCTCTTAGAAAATTATAAGACTTGTCCTTTCATCACTCTCATATAAGCAGGTGATCTCTGGTGTCCCCAATGCCCTGCTCAGAGGTCCCAGCAAAATGCCATCGTGCCCTTGAAGTTGAAGATTCGAACCAGAATTTATCAATTCGGATAGACTTTTCGATTCGCACATGTATGAAAATTGTATCAATTAAAAAAGCTATTACCGGCATGTTCTCCTGACAAACTGTCCGAATTCAGACGCCGATTTCTCGACTGTGAAGCGCTCTTCTGAGTACAATTCCTTGAATGAATCACAGAACTCTATCTGACAGTAATACTGGAATTTTCCTAAGTAAATGTATATTACGCTATATTTATGTAGCCATGTGAATACATATTTCAGAAATCATTATCTTGAACACACTGAAATGGAAAATTTTGAAACTTTGTGTACAATCTATGTCAATTAAGAGCTTTGCGTAGACAAAATTTTAAAGTGAAATTCCATCATATAGTTTTAATGTTGAACCGAAGCTATGTAGGGAAGAAACCACAAAAATTTGACTGTCTCTGCAAACGACATGCATCTGAGCGAGTTCTTCATAATTGCTACTGATTTGATGAAGATCTGATTGTGAAAAATTTCAAGTCGAAACTCAACCATCGCTTAGAGAGGCTCATGCTGTGTCTTTCTTTCTCTTCCCGATGTGAAATTCACTACCTTTACAAATAAATTATTCAACCCATACATGAAGTTACTTGAATGTAGCTATTTTTATGCAGTCAAAGCTAGCGGGTGAAGCAAGATAGCATTCTCTGCTTTCAATCATCCATTCAATACACAGTGAATTCACATGAGTGGCTAACTTCGAAATTATTCCAGCGATGCATCCATCATCACTGCTAGAAGGGATTTCGAGTATCATTCAAGGAATTGTGCTCAGAAGAGCGCTTCACAATCGAGAAGTCGGCGCCTTGAATTCAGGCCGTTGGTCAGGAGAACAGGTCAATGATAGCTCCATTAAAGGGTAGAATTTTGTACGAGAAACTATGTAATGCTCATTTTGATTTATAAGACTCCCATTGATTCATGAAAGAAAGCAAAATTGAATCGTGAGTCTAATAGACTTTCTACTCTAATAGTAAAGATCTGTTTGGTGTAAAACTTTCAGAGAATCTCATAGAGTCAATCTGAAGATACGTTTCAATGAGCACTGGAATCGCCTTCATTCAGACCCATGAGAAAACTTGTCGACGCCGGAAAAGCCATAATCGACATCCGGCGAGAAGTCTGATATACTAACACAGAGCGAACGACGCTTCCCACAACGTGCAAATCTACCGCTTACGAATAATATGACTGACGTATATGATCGTATAGATACCAGATAAAATACAGCCGTATGTCGTTGTATACGATCGTATTTCATTCAGCATGTATAAGACGTCGTATTTTTTTGATCTACACAATAAATTACTAAACAACTTACAAATCTTCTTTATTTATATCTTTATGCCCGCATTACGAGATAGCTTGAAGTGATTGTAAAACAGTAAAATTGGTTTATAATTTACTGTTTTGCAATAAAGAAGGTTATCGCATAATACCGACCTGAAACTATAAATTAAAAACGGTTTGTTAGTTGTTTAGTGATTTACTGGACACCCTGTAAAAGGTTTTTTAAAAATCTTGTGCCTGATTTTCGAAATACAATGCATTATAATAAAAAGTGTTAGAACAGAAAGATGCGCCATAAAATTCTTGGTATTTTAAGTGAGATAGAATTTTCATTTTCGAGACTGTGGGCGTGAGTTAGAGCCCGTCGGGTTCACAAATTTTGGAGGGCTTGGGTGTGGGTCGCTAGGACAGATCTTTGCAAGACAAATCGTCGCATGGACAAAACTTTGCAAGGATAGATGTTCATATGAACAAAACGTTGGAAAATACTTCCGGATAAAACAGAAGTACTAGTAAGTAAATCATATTAGCAAAATCCATTAGCATCTCTTTAACAGTATAAACTCTATTAAGTTATTCAAATATGACAATTTCAGTTTTATTTCTGATTTTTTAATCATTCAATTTATTTCAAATATTCACTAGCGTAGAATAAATATTAACAACAACACACTATGCACAAAGAAAATTTTAATTAACAATTTTCAAACTATCATATTGGCACTAATGTTCTTCAAATATTGGTCTAATTGATTCTTATCGTACATGTTGACCACTCGTGTTATTCTTTCATTAAGTTTCCGGTAACCTAATGTTTTTAGCTGTAGTTAATGTCCTTGCAGGATTTGTTGAATATTGATTTCGAACTTTGATTGTTCTCGACGAATTTTGTCAGCAGGTTTTGCAGCTGAAGGATGAGCGATGGACACGCGCTTAGCGAAAGCGTTGTGTCAGGCGTCTACCGAATTGTTACATCGAGGAAGATCATTGATGACACATTCATATACGTTACATAGTTCATAAATGCATTTTGGTTTTTTTCTTCCCATTTCTACAACGATACCTTCCTAGTAAGATTTACTGAAATAAATAATCGTTTGTTTTTTCTTCTCACCAATCCATGTCTCTTCAAAGTATTCAACGAGATTATCTGCATCATCGTCGAAGTGGCCAGCAATCAAGTCAAGTGCTTCTACCACGTCGACTGCTGGTACAAAAGGTAAAGACAACAATTCTCTCATGTTTAAGCGGAAATAATCATCTTCTTCATATTTTTTTGATAAACTGTTGTCTGGTATATGACGCCAAATGCATTGTCCATAATGAAAAAGACAGCCTAAAGTATATAATTATGATTAGAATACATAGGTTCAATATTTAGGTTACCTCTGTGTTCAACATTGGGAAAAATTTCTTTAATGGTTTTAGTTGTTGCTGATTCAAAATCACTAAGTATTGATTCCAGTGCAAAATTATCTTTTTCTAAAACTTTTTCAAAAAAATTCTTATAATCGGAGGCTTTTTTACCAATTAATAAGCTATAAACGAATGGAATGATCACTGATTTTAGCAACGTATGTAATGTAAATAGTTGATAAAATTGTTCGGGCACACTTATGGAAACAACAATGGTCAAATTAATTAAAGTTTATTTGTCCAAACCTTGAATGTGCCGTCAACAAACCAGTGCTTGCAGTCCTTCAATAAAGATAAATTTGTTTTTGCGGTAAAAATAATCATTTCATTATATTCATATAATATAAATTCTTCTCCACGATCTGTTTCCCGTAAAATGTCAGGTGAGAGAGTATTTGAATCCGAATGTGGTGCTGAACGTTGTCGTCGAACACTTCGCATTAATGATTCAATTTTTGGTAAACTATCAACTGCACTTAGAGACATGAATCGTAATGACGAATGTAAAATAGAGCTTGAAGCTTCATCGGATGTTGCTGCTTTCATTGTAATTTGGTTCTTTAGTTACAATGATGGAATACGTTCTGGATTCGAAGAATGAGAATGTGTACTGGATTCTGACAGAAATGAATCCATAGTCAGATTTGTATGACATCAAGCTAAGAAGAAAATCGAAGTTTTTTCAATGGGTCCGGCATTACTTGTAAAATTACTTTACCTTTACAATCTCGGTTTTGGCACCGAAAAATGCATTTTGTTATTGTTGTTCGCTCCAATATATAAATAAAGCCAGAGTATACCACCATAGGTTTTCCTTTTTGTGAGAACAATTTTTCAATACATGGGGTTTCTTGTATTTGTAAAAAATGAATGAATATGCAGAGCAACTTTTTTTATTTATATCAATATTTCAATTAGATATTTTATTCAATTTGTCTTTTAATTGAATAAGCAGATTAATCTTAATTATCAGAGCAAGGGTAGGTGTTGATGTGAGTGTGGTCGTGAGAGAAGAGAAAATAAACACCTACACAGACACTCATATCCACACCCACACCCACAGTCAAACCCACACACCTCACAAATTCTTGGTTTTCTTTTCTTTGTTCTTCCATCGACCACTTACAAGAGAGAGTTTATTGAAACATGGATCACTCAGAAGTTCTTCAGATGGTTATTCAATCTACTTTACAATGCCACTCGTATAGGATGAAAGCGAAGATAAGATCTAGTCAAAAAAGAGACCATTCATGGAATAGACTTTGATCAATATTCAATCGAAAAAGATATCTGTATGCGTTCGAATTATATTTGAATTCTCGGTTGTTTTTGCTGTGTCGATGAAGATCAATTCTATCTTAAGGGTAAGGATGAATGGGTGTAATTAATATATTTATTCTCACTCTCACGCCTCACTAGGTTAATATTGATTGTGTATTAAACACTGCTATCTGCGCTTCACTTTTACTATCTATTCATCGAAAGAATAAGTTTTAATGAACTATATGGAGGGTAAGAGTGACGGTGAGTGTATACGAAATTCTGAGAAGAACAGAAATAATCTTTCATTTCATCGATCTACGGTTATGATACATAGAAAATCTTTATCGAATATCTGTGGGGACATGTTTCAAATAGCATAAACAACTATTTCAATGAAGATCACGCAATCAGAAGGGCGTGGGTGCGGGTATGGTTGCGGATCTTGTCCTCATCCGCATTCACACCACACCCACACCCACACACCCGACACCCACACCCCACACCCCCACCCCACACCCCCACCCCACACCCCCACCCGACACCCCCACCCCACACTCACACCCCACACCCCACACCCCACATCCCACACCCACCACATCCTCACCCATACCCAAGCTATTCTTGGCCTTTGAAGTCCTGCTATAACAGGCTACCTATGGGTCCTCAAGTCCATTACTGTGTGGTACTCTTGAAGCCTCAAGCCCTATACCATGAGGTACCTTTGGATTCTGAAGTGCTACAATACGGATTACCATTGGGTCCTCAAAAGCCTACTCCCCATAAGTTTTGCCTCCTTCATAAATGTGATTACTCAGCCAATTCATGGATACAAATACAAGAAAAACTGAATACTTGGCGCACTTTCGTAGCTCGGAAATGTCAATCAGGAAAGGAAATATGAAAAGTCCACGCAAGCAAAGTTGGCTTCACCACTATAGCCGCTATGGCACACACATGAGCCGAACCTATTTGCACGTTAGCCAATCACTTGTCTGACTACCGTTAATGAAATAAAATGTAACTTTCCATACTAACAGAACCGTTTAGTCTTACAACTTCAGTGTACGCAAATACCGTTCTCCTATTCAATACTAAAACCTCATTTTCAACAACACAACGAAAACGACGACACGTGAAATCCCTCACTTCTGATTCGTCAGAGAGCCCGTCTCTTCGACCGTCAAAATCGACTGCACCGCTCTGAGACACTAACCCAAAGCTCCGCTTTCCCAAAGCCGGTTTAGACTCCCCAACCTTTATAAACCATCGTTATTTCCTTACAAAACTCATCGCTATGATGAATAATGCCGGTGTCGAATTTTCCTATACTCCATCTCCGGTTACCCTCTAAGCTAGTAGTAACTTTTCTCAGAAACTCATTAGTACGAAAAAGGTTACGTTACACCACTGCTCTCTATCCGTTAGTGCTTCAAAAAATCTCGGTACCCAATATGATAGCAACACGGCAATTCAACTTCCCCCATCCAGCGGTACTTCAAAACTATTGAGAAACCGTTCAGAAACAGCTTTAAAGACTTCAAGAGTGTATACCAGAGTCCATGACGTCCTACGCATATCCTCCAAGATTGCTGTTTATGCCTAGTCGTCTCTTGTATATTATGGCTCATGTAGAAATGAAGGTACTCCGTGAGTTGCGAAAGTTCCAGAGATGAAATAGTTACACCCACAGGGTAACGGACAAGTTACCGTCCTCAACTGTTACCCTAGAACGAGGAAACTGCCTCGTTACGAGATATTCGGTAACGGTAAGGTCAGGTTCCTTGTATCTCCTAGTTTACGACTAGACGGCCCAAGGGTACCGTATAGTTTGGAACATGAGGATCCAAGACTACTTCCTATAGAAGGGTTTGAGGACCCAAATGCACCGCCTATGGTAATATCTGAGGACCTACGAGTACTCCCTTACTATAGGATTTGAGGACCAAAGGGTACCTTCTTAGTACAGGACTTGAGGTCTCAAGAGTACCCACCCAGCATACGACTTCAGGACTCAAGAGTACCTCTCTATAGTAGAACTTGTGGAATCAAGAGTGCCCGCCTAGTGTAGGTCTTGAGGAGGCAAAGGTACCTCCCTATAGTAGAATGTGAGAACCCAACTGTAGCCCCCTATAGTAGGACTTGAAGATCCAAGGGTACCGTTACCAGTTATTCGGTAATTTCCCATCTCTATTTTAGTTAAGTGTCATTAAATAAAATGGTCCACCTTCTTTAAATCTTAAAATCTGCTTTTTCCCTCTGGGGTGTCGGTGTAGGTGGGTGTGGGTGTGGGTGGGTGTGGGTATGGGCGGTGTGTGCGTGTCGGTATGGGTGTTGGTGATGTGTGCGTATGGGTATGACTATGGATTTGAGTTTGAGTGTTCTTTTTGCAGTAATACTCATACCCACACCCACACCCTTTCCCACTCGTATACTATCATCTATAATATTGAGCACCAGCATTCAGTAGATGATCGATACCTATAAGGACCACCGATCGTTAGGTCATGCATAGTTCGTAGGACCAGAAGTTGTTAGGATATCCATTATTCTAACGGCGAGTTTTGGCTACGTCGTGGATAATTATATGGAGGAACATCAATTAGATCATGCGTTGTGTGGTTAATGGTACGTATAGTTTGATGCGATTGAATATTATGTTTATTAATGGGTTTCTCGTTTGTTTAGATTGATCGTAGCTGCTTATTTGAAAGTAAGTTTTATTTATTTTCATGAAATTTTTCATTTTTGTTATGGATTGATTCAGAATTCTGATTCAACGGCAAATTTATTTGGTTAATGTTCGATTTTTTGTCTGGCGCGGATTAATCTTCAGTCGCTACTTAAGTGTAAGTTTGCTTCTTTAAATATATTGTCTAATTTCTGTTGTAAATCGATGGCAATTTTCCATTTATGAGTATGTTTATTTCGTTCAATAAATGATTCTTTTTGTGTTTCAGAGTCGAATGAGATCTTGATTGTCATGTTAGTTTATTGGCGTAAATAACTGATTATTTGTTTGTTGTGGATGAGTTCGTAATCCTGATATGAAAGTAAGTTTATTGCTTTTAGTTGGCGGTTTTTTTTAGGAGGGTCTATTCACAGATTTGATGTCAATAATAGTTTTCGTTTTCTATCTGAGGTGAGAGTCCTTGGAAATGACAAATCGCTTTCGAGTTGAGCCTCTGTGCATAAGATAAACTTCTGTGGGATAAGAAAAACGTTGAAGGACGCCTTTCATTATTTATCCCTCGAAGGCTATCCTTATATGTTACTAGAATTGTAGTTGAATTCTAACGAGTAACCGTATGTAGCTGTTAAATTGGTTTTGAGTTCGAGCCCTTTGTGTCAGATAGATCTGAATGAAGTATGAAAAACTCCAAATGAACGAGGACTCATAAGTCTTCTTTCGAAAGTTATAGCCACTTTCCCTGAATTTTAACCTATAGTGCCGTAGATATTAGTGAACTGAATAAGACTATTTCTATTTAGGATTTCACGGACGAAACAGTCTATTTATTAGGAGATTGCTCCAAAATTTTTAACTGAAAAGAATGCGTTTTTTCCAGAGATATTGAAGTTCACAAAAAATACAACACTTCATCATCTTTCAGGAGATATGAGTGGTATTGTTGAACTTTAATATCTCTGGAAAAGACATTCTTTTCAGTTAAAACTTTTGGAGCAATCTCCTAATAAATAGACTATTTCGTCCGTGAAATCTTAAATAGAAATAGTCTCATTCAGTTTACTAATATCTACGGCACTATAGGTTAAAATTCAGGGAAAGTGGCTATAACTTTCGAAAGAAGACTTATGAGTCCTCGTTCATTTGGAGTTTTTCATACTTCACTCAGATCTATTTGACACACAGGGCTCGAACTCAAAACCAATTTAACAGCTACATACGGTTACTCGTTAGAATTCAACTACAATTCTAGTAACATATAAGGATAGCCTTCAATGGATAACTAATGAAAGGCATCCTTCAAGGTTTTTCTTATCCCACGGAAGTTTATCTTATGCACAGAGGCTCAACTCGAAAGCGATTTATCATTTCCAAGGGCTTCCTTATTAAATGAATATGCCTTGGAAGGTTTTGTATGAAACCATTTGTACGAAACCTTTTTGACTTTTCCCGGTAAAGGTTTCGTACTGAACTTTGTGTACGAAACCATTTTTCCCATTCACCAAGAAGAAGTTTCATACGAAACCTTCTTTTTACGAAACCAAAAAAGATTTGATTGTGGGCACACGGTCAGATCCTTTTTTGGTTTCGTAAAATA